TTAAGTATAAAAAAGTGTAATAAATATATATTAATTATTTAAAAAATAGAATCAGGGACGGGGACGGGGTCGGTACATGCATTTCCTATTTTTGGKATACGACCCTACGGAAATTTTTGTTTTCCCCCTAATGTACAGACATGAAAATAGAAGTTTAGAGGGATATAAATAAACTTTTGAAAGGTACATTTTAGAGAGATAAATAAAAAATTTAGAAAAAATAGTGAAAGAAAAGTTAAAACAAAAAGAGAAAAATTGTAGAGAAAAAAAATAAAGTGGAGAGGAAAAAGTATGTTAAAGAAAAAAAATTATAAAGAAAGAGAAAAATTAGAGTCAAATTTAGAGATAAAAACAAGATTTAAAATATAATTTTTAGAGAAAATAAATAAATATAAAGATAAATAAAAGTTACCGTCAAAGAAAATTGAACGAGAAAATAGAATCAGAGGAAAAAATAGATTACGAATAGAAAAAAAATATTATAAAAGATGAAATTTTAGTGAGAAAAAAGTCAGAAAAAATATTAAATCTTTAGACAGAAATGAAATTGGTCTATTAGAAAAAAAAACAAAAATACAGAAAATTTTGGAGAGAGATAAATAATAATAAATATTCAAAATATGAAAATTTTAAAGACAGAAAAATAAAGTTTGTAGGGAGAAATTTAGAAATAAAAAAAGTTTAGAGTGAAAAATAAATCTTTTAAACATAAACGTGAGAAAGAAAAAAAAAGTTGAGTATTAGAAGAAAAAATCAGATTTTGAAAAACAAAAATCTGTTTTTGAAAATTACTTTTTTTTTTGTTTTTGAAATTTACATAGAATTTCAAAATGGTTTTTGAAAAACAAAAAATAGAAAATTGAATGTGTTATCAAACAATACTGGTTTTGAAAAACTAAAAACAAAAAACGAAATGGTTATCAAAGTATTTCCGCAACGTCACGAAATCAAATGTTGTCACGGTTACTCATTTATAGTGACTTTTTTTTAAACGTCACGAAAAGTCTTAATCGTGACATTCTTAAAACGTCATGAAATCATTTTTCATGATGTTTAACAAATGTCAAGGAAGACTATATTTTTCATGACGGTCTTTAACCGTCACATGTGCTAATTTTTGTTATGTTTTTTAAACGCACGTATACCTTTCGTGATGGGCGTATACGTGACGGCATAAAAAACATCACGAAAGATTTTTGTGACGTTAAAAAACCGTTACAATAAATTGAATTTCTACTAGTATAACTAAAATGAACATAAGATTAAAGCACATGAAGCAAAATATATGTTTTGAAAGTATAATAACCAAAATAAATCTATTCGAAGAAATTAAAATTGTATTTTAAAATGTTAGTTTTTATTAAATAATTCTTTAAAGAACAAAGGAGACCCATAGTTTCCAAAGAAGTATGAGTTAGTGGGTTGCCAGTTGCCAATCACCCATGGTTTTGGTTTTTGCTTATTCTCTCTTTTATATATTATTCTTTTTTCTTTTATTTTTTTAATTTATCTTTATCCTTTATCTCGATTATGATGCCCATTCATTTATTTCTCCAACTAATTATTGTATCTTTTTTACTTTAATCAATATTTCATTTATTACTATAATAATCAAATTCAGTTCTTATTACTATAATATACTTTTGATTATATACTCTCTATATAACTTTTTTATTTTATGAAAGTCTATGGTGGCCTAGATCTTTTATTTATACTCTTTAGGTTTTGAATTCTCTGTTTTTAGTTTATAAAAAATTCTTATTTAGGTCTTAAACTATTATATGTATTTGGGTCTTGCATAATATTAATAGTTAATTGTACATATAGCAAATTATTTTATAACTTGTGAATATAGCAAAAACGGAGGCCCAACTCAAACAAAAATAAATGAAAAAGTATTTTTATACCGCTCGCATTGATATTCCTTCATATTAGATACATTAGACATATCAACATTATAATTTATATTTAATATATTAGTTATATAATTGATATACCCAATATCAACTATGTTAGGTATATGAGTGATAACCGATCACTGATATACATAATATGAAATGTATATTAACAGAACAAAATTGAAAAACAAAACAAAACAAAAAGGTTGTTACTGCAATTATGGAAATGTTTTTTATACCCGTTAAAAATATTCTATTTATTTTGTTGTGATCTTGCTCGAAGTCGATTTTTAACTATTATGTTTTAATATTTAAATTTTCGTAAAAAAAACTAATTAATCATTGGTTCTAATAGTTAAGGACGTGAACATGGTCCAACCATTGATTAAAATTCGAAGAAGATATTGAATATATAAGTAAGAATAATATTTAGTTAGTGCGAGATTTTTAAGATAGGCTCCAAGAAAAACAAAATGGACAATTATATAAGTAAACATGTATGTTTTATTTAAATCAATTACAAAGATAGCGTTAAATAATTGTTACTATATGCTTTCATTTTGTGCAATTGTCATTAATTGATATTTTAGGGGGTCTATTTTTATAACAACTCAGCTATTTTAAGTTGGGTAAATTACTATAAGTCGTCAAATAATATAAATCGGGTAGGTTTTTCCCATTTTTATATGTATGTTACTAATTACGAATTATGACACTTAATTTCGAAAGTTGTATAGTATTGTAGATGTGCATTCAAAAATTTATATTAATTACACGATAACCGGCTGATACAGAAACACTCGAGTCCAATCGATACAAACTTTCCAGTCTTGGAGATATCTTTGCAAATCAACTAATAGATTAATCTCATCACTTATTCAACTTTTACCATTTAATGAAATAAAAAATTTTGGGCATTAAAGTTGAAAATTCAAACTTGCCCCCTTATTTTAATTACGCTATTATATTTATCAGAAATATATTCTAAAATTATTTTACATTTGTATACTTTTTGCTAAAGAAAAAAAAGGAGAGGAAATGAAATGAAAAAGGACAACTTTTTAATTGCTTATTCTGATTCTATTGTGGAATTTTTCTTATTTTTAGCAGAGGGAATATCAGCTTCTGATATGAAATCTAAACTGCTCCACTTTTAGATTCCTTATTTATATATATATATATTTATATATGTAATATATGTATATATTTACAACTTTTTCTAGAAGTATCAAAGAATGAGGTTGGGAAGTTTAGTGGATAAGAAATATGTATGAGGAAGAAAATAGAACCATAGTTCGTGTGATTAAACATTTATACTTCTTCGTTATAGAGTGTGAATTCAAATTTTCATTTCCTTATATGCGATGCGATATTTAAAAAATTTAAATGTATGATAATTTTTTTAATAATAATGAAAGTAAATTTAATTTTAGTGTACTTATAAACTAATATAATATGCAATTTAATTGGACTTTGTAAATATAGATATAAGTTAATTGTATATAGGTATTTATTAACGATGCAAATTGATTTATTTGTTATTACTTTTTAAATATAAAACTAAAAATGAGAAAAAAAAAACAAAACTATTAAAGAAAATATAAAGAGTTAAGAATATCAAAGGAAGATCCTCTCGACATGAGAATCTTAGAAGAAATCAATAAATTGAGTACATAAAAAATTCTTAGATACCGAGTATCCTAAACCACAGAAAAACAAATTTAATCTTGATGCTCCACATGAGCACAATTCAAATGGTCAATGCATTTTTTGTTTGTTTGTTTTTTTTTTTTTTTTTTTTTAACTTAAACTTAGAAATACTACTATTACTATGTTGTTATCACCTTTTAAAAACATTTTCAAGATCTAAGCAATATTTTTAAAATTAAACAAGTAGTTTTTAAAAACTATTTTTGTTTTTGAAATTTGAGTTAAGAATTCAAATGTCTTTCAAAAGAATGTAAAAACATACCAAACAAATTATATGAGAAATCAAAGCGTAACTCTAAAAAATAGAAAACCAAAAAACAATAGTGTCATGAGGCCTAAACTTTTATCAAATGAAATGAAATTTCTACATATTCATTTAACAAAGAAAAAAAAAAGAGAGACAACAAATTGAGGGTGTGAAAAAAGAATCAAATTTGAAGTCGAGCATTTTTGCCAGCTTCAACATGAATAATACTTAAGTGCTTACCAGACGCAGTAAGAAATATAATATTTTTTGCATTCCTCTTCTCTATTTGTAAAAAATTTAATGGTAGTTAGTAAGAGATGACTACTCATCGATAAGCACGTTTAAGTATTATTCCTTTTAACACAATACAGACGTTAATGCTTCTTTCTCTTCCTGCATTCAAGATTCAAAATCTTCACCCTTTCTTATTTCTAACGCAATCTAGAAAGAATAGAGCACTTTGAATGAATGCCCAAGAACATTTTGGGTGTCCAAAAATGAAGGTGATAATCCATTATCAAAATTATCACTTAAGAATCTGATTCCAAAATGATTTGGAAAAGAAATAAAGTCTCTTTAAGTTAGGAAACCATCTCCCATGCATTGGATTTGCATCAAAATTTCTTGTTTCCATGATTCCCTTTGTGCCTGTTTGATGGAATGCTCCCTTCATTAGAATTGTATATAACTTTTTATTTCTATAAAATTGGAAATTATTTACATCAAAGTTTGAATAATGTTCCTTCTTTTTTCTTTTAGTTTTTCGAATATAGATCACTTTTTAATTTCGTCCCGAGTAATTCAAACAATTTCCACTACTTGATAATGAAATTAACAATAAATGTGATATAATTTCACCCCCTTATTTCTAACATATTAGTGATATTAAATTGATATTTTTATATTTTGTCGAATTTTTTGCAAATACTATTGAAATATCAATTTCCTCATGTCGATATCGAATCCCTGATCATAAACAATATCCAACCTTACATATTAACAAGCCAAAAGAATGAACAACCATGCTGAGAAAAGAGCCCACGAAAACTGTAGAGACATGGACTTAATTTCCAAAAGAGAATTATAAATCCACAAAAAGCTGGACATCTACATGCAATATTATATCAAGTTCTTCCAAAGACTTGTGAACAGAAAGGAAAACAAAATCTATAAACTGAGTTCCAAATAGCATTCACAATATATAACTGAACATATTTATCTTATTTACATCAATCTATACTATGTTGTTTAGCCCCAGAACTGTACAGTGTTCTCTGTGGGATGGATGGCTTAAAATCGACTCATCACCTCGGTTGCTGCTTGATTCCATTGACACTAATCTGAATTGAGCATGGTAGAGAAGACCTGGACAATGTTCTTTTCTCTCTGTTTCAGGGGGTGGCTGTGGAATCTGATTCTTAAGATGGTAATGTCACATGGTTGGAAAACTCTTGGTAGAACATCTCTGATGTTGCGATTTAAATAACATCGTCAAGTATGATGACCGAGTACAAGGCTAAGTAATGCAGTGGCGGACAGTCCTAATTCCATATGAGGGGATTTTTAAACTGGTTCGCCATTGCCTCCTGTAGAAACTTGATGATGTAGGAGCGTTCGACTTCCTTCTCCCTTTTGAGTTCTAGATGTCGAACCTGAATTAACAATGTGATATATGAGAAGATTTTGTGTAACAAAAGAATATGCAACCATATAAATAATTCAGCAAGTCTTGCTACATGGTGCATAATTCTCTCCTATTCAACTCCCACGACTAACCTTTTGGTAAAAAAAAAAACTAATCTTTTTCTGTTAGAATATTGTATCACAAACATGGGGTGGAGATTCAAACCTACGACTCTTTCAAAAGAGATTCATTAGTCATTTAGGTATGGTTAGGTTGGCCAAAAAATGACTATTCACGATCCTCGTAAATACTGTATTTCATTGTCTATGGACTTAAATCAGTCTGAACAATAATAACACTAGTGCCAATAGTCTTATGTCATAAATTTTCTAAATAATCTCCAAAAGAGATACAATTTTTTCAAATCATTCATTTCCAGAGTCATATTGCCTTCCAGGATAACTTTATTTTAAAAACTAGGTACTCAACTAAATAACCCAATTAAAGAATAACAACATTAAATTTGAATAACACAATTGATGCAAAAAGCCCAAAGATTGACCACACCATTTCTCTTTTGTGATGCTGCCCCACCCTACAGTAGACACTGATTACAGTTGCAAGTTCAATAAAACAGAGCAAATTGTTGGCCTTGTATCAGTTGGTCTCTTAATACTAGCAATCATAATAGACCCTCTGCTAAGTAGTAAATCCATGTTATACAGCTTTAAGTCTTTCTTTAATATAGAACCAAGTAGAGAGAGAATTTAAAATGACATCAAATCCATTATAAATCCAGGTTATACAGATTCAGCCATTCTTTAAGATGACACCAAATCCTTTCTAAGGGGGAAAGCAATGATTTAATATATCTTTACATTATAACCACTTGGGAAAAGAAAAACTAAGGTCCCATTTAGTAACGTTTCTATTTCTTGTTTTTTGTTTCTCATTTCTAATTTTCTAGAAACATAGGAGTCTTTTTGGTTGGAAACTCGGATTATGCTTTTTGTTTTCAGATTTACTGAATCAAACGGATTCAGTGAATATGCGTTTGTCAGGATTTGGGAAATTCGTTTTTGAAAACTGTTTTCAGATTCTGTAATCCAAACAGTAGAAATTCTGGAAACGACATTTTTATGTTTTAAGCGTTTTCAAATTCAGAATTTGAAATTTTTAAAATGCAGAAATTAAAAAGGATAAAGTTTTTGATAAATATATTACTTCATATTATAAACTCATTTTATGTTTGTTAAAATTAAAACATGTAAAATATAATGATTGTAAATTATATAATATCGTAAAATAATAATTATACAAAATTTATAAAAAATGTTAATTTTGTAACTACTTCTAGTTTCATATAAAACTTTTACTTTTTTTAATTTTAAATTTTAGAGAACGAGAAACAAGAAATGATTCCCTAACACGTTTAGTTTTTATTGTTAATTAAAAAAAAAAAAGAAACAAGTAGTTCTATTTTTTCATTGAAAATGAGATAATGAGAAAAAAGAAAACAGAAAATAAAAAACAATAAATAAGAAACATGAACGTTACCAAACAGACCCAAATTTGTCTAATAAGTTGTTTCTTTTTCAGCATTCAAATCTTTGTAGCTTCAACATCTAAATACTGCTTCAAAATGTTGAAGTTTGGAATAGAAGTTTTACCTTTACTGAACCTGTGTTAGATACACCAGAGTCTGTTATGATGACAAGACATTTTATGTCATTCTCACTAGCATATTCATATTGCTCTGTGAGACTTGGATCAGGTGTAGGGACGAGCTGAGCCTGATGAAATAAAAAGCACTTTTCAACATTAACCTCTAAATAAACCGTAGATTATCCTGATATGTTTATCACTAACCTTAATCTTCTCCTCCCACAGCTCCCCAGCAAGTTCCATGCGTTCTAACAATAGTCCCCCTCCGCCTCGCGAACAAATCAGGACACTGGTGCTCCCCTCATTTCTGCGAAGTGCACAGCAGAACAAAATGAGCCAAAAAAGTTACAGAAAAGATTCAGTGGCTTAACAGAGTAACATAAATAAATGGGAAGATTATAAAGTGCACCGGATGGGTTTCAAATCTACAGCAGATTGCTGAATTATAGTCTCTAGCGCTATGCTGGTCCCGACACCACCGGGAGGAGTAGTTTTCTGGTACATAAAAAGGTTAAACATATCTTAAATTAGTACATTAAAGATCACATGTAAATGAAATGAAAAGGCATTGCTGCACAAGAAAGGCAACATATCTCAAATCTTTGGAATAAAATTATGGAAGGTCAAATCATTGAATCAAGACTGCAAATCTTCTTAGCTTGGGTTAAGGAAAAATACTCGGGGTTAGATTTTTATGCTCATAAACTGCTGGGTTGCATGGAATTGATATCACTGCTACAAGTTAACACTAAACTTTAAAATTCAGTTAGCTATGTTTTAACTAATTATCTTTCCTGCTCTGTATGTCTTCTAAATATCCTACATCATATTCATAAAGATATTCAACCATTCTTCCATGCTAATATTAGACTTTGCTGCATTGTGTAGGCATCATATCAATATAAAAAGAAAAATAAATGAGGATAACCCACATATGCACGGCTCCACATCCGTTGCAGCAAATAGTCATAGCGGCCACCAATAGCAAGCAATGCACCTTCAGGATGTGAGCCAGGATTATTTTCCTTTGTTAAGTATACCTGGACATGTAATTGCGACGCAGTCACTGACACTGAAATGGAGCAAAATACTGCTTGTGCTTGAGGTATTACTAGATACACTTGGGACTTGGGAGAAATAAAATATAAATCTCTTCAATCTTCTTCAGAATCATGCCTGATTAACATGAATCCCGTCAACTAAAAAGGGAAACATGCAAGTGGCTACTAAAACTTCAGTGCCTAAGAGTGAGTGGTTGACAAGAGCGCTTCAGCTAATCAGGTGGAAATTTTTCAAAAAAAAAAAACAAAGAAAAAAATCTCATCGGGTAACAAGTTCAGTTATTGGCTTTTTGCACAAAAAATTTCAGCAGCAGCAACCTAGGTAGTTTTTATGATCGTCTCAACAGCAGCAACACTTGAGACCAGTATATACCTATAGATACACACACATCACAGATGTATATAGACATACAACCACACATTTATAAGCTTTTGGAGAAAACTAAAATAGTATACCGTCACACTTCCCATACGTGGGAGGGAAGACAAATGTGATACCTGAAAAAATATGTCCCGATGATAATCCTCCGTTGGTGACATTAAGGCATCTATGTAAACATTTGTTTCAATCTTCCATACTCTCAAGTAGTTAAAAAGGTCTAACAACTCATCAAGTGCTTTACGCATAGATTTATCTGCATTTTATTCATAGCAACTAGCAAGGTTAAAGGGAATTCATTTTCGTATCTGAAACTGTAAGAACATAAACAACTAGTTTCGACAATACCTGTTGGAAGGGCACCTCTCAATCTAGGAAGTGCCTGATCCACTGCACCACAGAACCTCAAAACTACAGTCTGCAATCTATTTACAACAGCTTCTGCTAATTTGAGTTCCTGTAGTAGAATAATTTCTCTCAAATATTATAGAGACACATGTTCATTCTAAATGTTTACGAACATGATGAAAAGCTCTTGAAGAAAAAGAAAAAGGAAAAATAATGTTTAGTCCATAGCATTACAAACTACAACAAGGTTCCATTATCTAGTCCATTGTGAGAGATTGGAAAGCTGTGATTGCACAGGGAGGGTGATCTCTATCCACCACCTTTAGGTTGTCTCCCATTCTTTTTTAGAGTTTCTTCGAATCTATTGTCTTCCTTTCTTATCAAAAGAAACAAACAAGATTCACAATGTCGGAGTAAGAAGTCTTTCTTCGTAGATGCAAAAGCTCCCATTTATCATCACATTGGCTGCCCATCAACAATAGTATGTAGCTAAAAACAAATAACAAATGAATACACATGTACACGCACAAACATGTGCTGCATATTGGCCATCCATCTGTTTACAGATTCCCTCATTGCCTTGAACTCCTGGCATTGAATCAAGACTGCAAATCTTTACACTTGCTTGAAGGATTGTTTATATCCCACGTACTGCAACAAGTTCCATCATTAATATCCTCTCTCTTTTTTTCATTATGAAAATCCATTCGGTTGAGAGTATGAATGCAAGAACTCGAGAAAAAATTGGTATCCTATTAATATGTTCAGACAGGAATCATCTAAATACAAAGAAATAGTACCATTCATCATTCATCTAATTGAGGAAGAACATTTTGAGAGATAAAATACCCCTTGTAGAAAGTATACTTATCAGATAATACCACTCTTATACCATTTAAGAAAATGCATGACTAAGTCTTTTAAACTACGGTCATGAACCATTTTTTATTCTGTATAAAGATTTTGCGAAGGTGTAAAACTTCTCATTCCCCCAAAAGCAATGAACCTAGATGGTTACTCCATATAAACCTCTTCTTAAAGATTGCCGTGAAGTAAGACATTCTTGATATAATGTTATGCAAAACTCAAAGATAGGTAGCGGGCATAGAAATTAATTAAAAAAAAGACCTAATGGAAGATATTTTAGTGACAGAAGAAGTTTAATAATTGACCCCATGGGTTAACATAAGGAGGCCTATCATGTTACTATTAAGTTCCAATAACAATATCTTTGGAAATTATCCTACTGAAGAAACCTTAATGGTGATGAGCTTGAAGAATGGCTCTCCCTTATGAACACTACTGGCTTGCTTCCCTCAGACCGCTCAAATTCCTGGTCTATAAACTCATCTGGTACCTTCTCTTGCAACTCTCTTATGCATAACCTTACCCAAGGGAGACTCATCCTTCAAACTGACATATGTAAGATGATACATAAAGATAAATACCCAAAAAAGGTCAGAACTTTTATTTGGGAAATAATCTTGGATAGCATCAACACCCAAGACAAAATTCAGAAGAAAAATCCAAGAGCTGCCTCTTCCCTCACAGGTGTCCCGCCTGCAAATCAGATTCAGAATTGCAAGATCATCTTTTTACACACTACCATTTGTCTCTAGGTTTCGGAGTCTCATCTTGGATGCCTTTAGTTGATCCCTGCATCTCAACAGCACTACTTCATCCAACATTTTCTCCCATATGCTATCCATCCTTTCAGAAGAAAGGTTAAAGTGATTTTGCTCAACCAGAGCTTCCTTTGGAATCCTTGGTTAGAAAAAAGACAGACTGGTGGAAAGGAGACTATATTTTATCTTTTCATTTATATTGCTACTTCTTGGTGAAAGTTAAACAATCTCTTTTATAATTACTCTAGTTGAATATGTGGCAACTGAAAGGCCTTTTTTGAACTCCCTCGGCTTTTGGAAGGCTTTCCTTCCTTTTCTGTACATTTCGTTATTTTAAAGAAATCCAGTTTCTTTTTAAAAAAAGATAATAATAAATAAATATTGAGGTTTATTGTGGGGTTCTTAAGTGAGCTCAAACCTGTAATAGTTGGCGCCTTATCACAACCCACTTCGATTTCCTCTCAGAAGATTGAGGACGTAAGGATACCATCATAGAAAGAAGCTGCAATTATAAGAGAGCTTCAGAAGGCATGAAAAAAATTCTGCGCCTTTTGCAGGAAAAATAATATATATATATATATATATATATCTGCGACTAAAATAATTAATTTACCTCTGCCACTTTATGCCTATGTTCTGCCTTAACACCAGCCCAAGACCAAATAGCATTCAACAGATCTCCATGATTTAAGTGTATATCACAAGAATCTGAATAGAAAAAATAAGAAATAACGTCCACAGTCACCTGAAATATTAGCAACTACCGTAAGAATTTCATCCTTTTACGCTGGGATAATTTATTGTTTAGTGACCAAGTCAAGATACTTTCTCTGCGAAATATTCGGTTATAACTCATCCAAGTCAGGACACCGGAGTTTCATTCTTTCTCTTGGGTTTATAACTTTCATTTTTTTTTTCTTTTTCTGAGAAATATTCTATTATGACTTGAATAAAGTAATCATATCAAACTCACAGAAGATTATCCTCTTTGAAGAATACAAACAGCTTAATGTTTTTTTTGGAACAAAAAACGAGACTTTTCTTTTCATTAATGTTTGAAAGATTGAAAAAGAGTACAAGAATTCAAAGTCTACAAAGAGTAGACTTAAGAAAGAAGGAGAAGCATGAAAGTAAGAAGCAAAGCATAAATAGGGAGAGCTATAATAAGACCCTAAAAAGAGCCCCCTAATTACTACAAATATCATTTAGAGAATAACCATGAAGGAACTTATCTTCGAAGATTCTTTTATTTCTTTCAGACTAAATTTCCAATAAACAAACGAATACAGACAGCCTAACCTCAAATTTTAGTTTCATCCATCAACAATGTCAAAGCAGCCTTTTAAATATTTAAAAGTCCAATAAACAGACTCAAATATTCTTGGGGACGAAACTAAGCAATAGGATTTTTGGGATTTGGTCAAAATCTTTGCTTCTAATTGGTGTTCTCGTCAAAAGTCTTTGTTAATTACTATTTTTCTCAGATTTATGCCCATTGAAAAACTTTATTGTAATTCTCGCTCGTTGGGGATATCTCATCTCCTTCCTTTTATTTTGTTACTTATCCAAAAAAGAGAAAAAAGAAAACAAATAATGTAGCTCCTCACAAGGATTTTAAGAAGTGATTCAATCTACCTCTTATTAATGATATATAGATGATTCTGTAGTAACTCTAGCAGTAACTAGTTACTGTTGGTTTAATATTTGTGAATATTTGCTATAAATTAGTTGTAAATATTAATGGTTATTTATCCTTATTTCCTTTTATGTTTTGAGCCTCTCTTCTATATAAGAAGGCTCCGTATTTCTTACTTAATCATATATTGGAATACAATTATTTTTATTCCACCTAATTCAACTTGTTATCAAAGCTAGGTTTAAAAAACCCTAGCCACTAGGAGCTAAGCTGCCGCCGCCTTCAAATGGCGCACCCTACTTCAGAAAGGTCCCTTTGTGTGCGTGCTGTTCAAATCAGACCTATTCCACAAGATCTGCCACTGTTTAAGTCCGGAGGTTGCCGCACGTCTAGATCTCGTTGCTGCCACTTCGCTTCGACAGACGCTGCTGCCTCATCTACATCCGATGCCATTTAAGATTCCGTTGCTGCCACTCCACTTCACCTGACGTCGTCGCATCGTCTGCATATGTTACTGCCGGTGTTTTCGAGGCGCACCCGGGTGCTCGCCTCAGGCGAGGCGATTCCGCCCAGGTGCACCTTGCAAGGTGCCCAGGCAAGCGCCTTCAATCGGGCGCTCGCCTCGACGCGCCTGAGGCAAGGCGATCGCTTTGTTGAAGCGAGGCGATCTGCCCTATTATTATTTTTTTTATATATTTTTAAAGTGTTTTTTTTTTTTTAAAACACCCTTCTCCCTCGCGAAAAACCCACAAGCCCTAACCCACTCTTTGCCTCTAAACATTCACCTTCACTTCACCACCCTCAATCTCTGACCGTCGCCTGCTCCCGTCTCCAACCATCGCCGTAGCCGCTGTCGCTAACCGCCGCCACCGTCTCCTATTGCAGCCGACGCCTACTCCATCTGTTGCTGTCGTGGATTCGACTTTCGTAGGTTCTTCATTTATTCCTTTTCTTTTCCTCTCTTTCATTTCACGCCCATTCTTTCTAAATCTTCACTATGGTTTCTTCACGATGGCTCTTTCCTTTACCTTTCTTTTATTTGTTTATTTTTTTATCTTCCAAATTTTAATTATAATAGGATGGAAGAAGGTGAAAACAAACGTAAGCATCCTGGTTGGAATTACGTCATATTGGATGATCCGCAAGATACAAACACGTCCAAGTGCATGTTTTGTGTAAAATTTTATAAAGGTGGAATCTGCCGAGCAACACAACATTTGGTTGTGGATTTAAAGGTATGTTTGAAATGCCCAACACAACACAACACAACATTCGAAATGTAAAGGTATGTTTGAAATGCCCAACTAATGTGAGAGAAGAATTGAAGGAGTATCAAACAAGATCAAAATTAAGAAGGGAAGATAGTAATGTCATCCCAACGTATGCGGATTTAACCTTGATTGAAGAAGATGAGGAAGATGAGATGGAAGTACTTGGTGGTAGTGGTAGTGGATCAACATCAAACCCAACGAACAAGCGAACAAGTACAAGTGATAATGTGAGTAGAATGGGTGGGAGAGAGAGAGGAAGAGGAAGAGGAAGTGGAGGAGGAAGTTGTAGTAACTCTTGTAGTCAATCACAGTTAAAACCACCGCGACCAAAGGGGCCCATGGATAAATTTGCTTATCAACAACATCTTGAATAAGTTGATGATAGAAATCGATTGAAGAGGTTGAAGCAATCAACTATTACTGAAAAAAATGATAAAGAGAGGAGGGATGGTACAGTGCAATTCATCATGCGTTGGATATATCAAGCAGGTATTCCTCTAAATACTATTCGCTTGAGAAGTTCTGAAGTAATGCTAGAAGTTGTGGGGCAATTTGGTCCTGGTTTGATACCTCTTTCTTATCATGAAGCTCGAGTAACGTACTTGAAAAAAGAAGACAAAAAATCTAATGGGCGATCATAAGGTAGAATGGAAGAGAAATGGTTGTTCGTTGATGTCAGATGAGTGGACTGAAGGGATAGGACACTAATCAACTTTTTAGTTCATTCATCTCTTGGAACGATATTTTTTGAATCCATCGATACATCGTCATGCATAAAAACTGGAGAAAAGATTTTTCAACTCTTAGATAGCATGGTAGAGAAGATTGGAGAAGAAAATGTTGTCCAAGTTGTGACGGATAATGCCTCAAACTACGTCTTAGCTGGCAAACTTTTAGAAGCCAAACGACCTCATCTATATTGGACACGACGCACAACGCATTGTTTAGATTTAATTTTGGAGGATATTGAAAAGATTGATCAGGTTAAAAGGTGTCTTAGAAAGGCTGTGGCACTTAGTGGCTTTATTTACAACACTTGTATGTGCTAAACATGATGAGAGAATTTACTAATCAACATGAATTGGTAAGACCAACAGTGACTCGCTTTGCAACTTCATTTTTAACCCTAACCAGTATTCACAAAAATAAAGCTAATTTGAGGAAGATGTTTATTTCTGAAAAGTGGACCACCCCTAAATGGACGAAGGACCCAAAAGGGAAGAGAGCAGCTGAGACTGTTATGATGCCGTCCTTTTGGAATTCGGTTGTGTATACTTTGAAGGCATCGAGTCCTTTAGTTCGTGTGTTGAGGCTCGTTGATGGTGATAAACCGGCTATGGGTTATATTTACGAAGCTATGGATAGGGCAAGAGAGCCGATTAAGAATGGTTTCAATGAAAATGAGGTGAAATATAGACCAATTTGGGAGATTAGTGATAAAAGGTGGGATTGCCAACTTCATCGGCCTTTACATGCAGTCGGATATTATTTGAATCCCTCTCTTTTCTATGACAACAAAGAGAGAATTATGCAAGATCCCAAGGTCATGGACGGTCTGATCAAAGTTGTGGAACGATTAATACCAAAGAGAGAACTATAACTACATCTACAAATCTTCACCGACTACGGAAAATCAAGAGAACACATGATTTTCTTTAATAATAAAAAAATACAGAACAGTAAGAATTCTGAAAAATGGTTAGAATTTGTCAGGCCACTCTCCTTGTCAATCTAGAAATTAGGCCATTCTCTTAAGATCTCGTTGTTTAGTAGTTCTGTTTGCTTATGACAATGGTTAAGTTATCAAGGCTAAGATATAGAACCCTTTCACTCTTTCGGTAGTAGGATCTAAGCATGTGTGATTCGTGAAATAATGTTAAGTGCTAGGCAATTCACATTTTACAACCTACAGACGAATGCATGAAATAGGAATTCCTTTGTAACTGACAAAGTTTGCAAAACAGGGTAAAGGTAAGAGCAAAGACGATAGAAACAGGGTAACAAAATAGAAAAGGTATAAAGGTCACTGTTGAAGAAAAGTTCCTATTAGGCCCGGTCCATAATCCTTCAGTTTCTCCCTTTTCCTTTCCAATCCCTGGGTTACTTGCCAATATTTATTTCCTTCTATATTCTCCTTTTGGTGCAATTTTGGTGAGTGTTGAGTTGACGTTGTTTACTTGTATATAGTTGTACTTTTCCTTTAAATAATAGAAGAATATGATTGTATTATGGGTATGTAATATATGAAATCAGAAAATTCTATTCAATCATCCTCTCTACCTCTCTTGGCTTCTAAAAGGATCAAGAGAAAACTAGAAATGAGGATATTTGGAGGAAATTATGGATCTCAACCATGGAGAATGAGAGCTACACAAAATCAAACTTTGCATTCATTTCTAAGAATAAGAGGACGAGATTATTTCCTCACTCATCACCGCGTGATTGCATCATGGAGGACCTTTGGAGAAACGATCATCATGCTCAAGTCATTTTACTATTTCACATTTAGTTTAATGTATTTAGTAGAGTTATTTGGCCCTTGAACCTTTTGCAATTCTAGATTAGGGTTGTAAACCAAGAACATTCAAGTCAAGATTGATCGACTCACATGTTGATTGTTTTAAATCTTGATCCACGGAACTTGTTTCTTGTCTCTTAATCGTTAATCTAAAGCAATCCACATCTAGCCCCACCTTAAGGTTGTATCAAATCAAATAAGTGGTCCAGGATCTTGATCTTCAATTCAATTCACTAGATAATTCATATAAATCTTCGCTATCCAAAATTCATAAGAATCAACCAAACACAAATTTGTAATGCAATAAGATATCTATAAAACCTAGAGAATGATATGGGAGGACAAGAAAATAAGTAGTACATTCCTTCTCTTTTTGAGTAACTTTTTGTTCTTTCATATATTAAATGAAAGTTACTTTTCTTACTTTTAATGTAAATAGTAAAGCGTGCATCCTACAAATAACAAGAATGTGCATCTCAAGGATGAGCCCTGGACTGCTAATCTTATTTGGAAAGGAAAGACACCATAACTAAGAAAGAAAGGAAAGAAGGAAGCGAGAAAGCAGCCTATTGAGATTCATAAAAAGTAACAAATGAGTTAATTAATTAAACTAATGAAAATGTACCTTGATAACCTCTGCCTCAGTCAAAGCCGATGTACCTCCAATGATATCAAAATCACCCTATTGAGGATGATAAAAAAAAGAAAGTACATATGGCCACATTAGGGAATTAGAACATTTTAACCAAGAAAAGCATAGACATGAACATGGAAATAAAACACAATAAAACATGACCATGAAGCTACCTAACTTTCTAAAAGATAGGATAGGAGCAAAATAAAGACGTTTTTTTTTAAACCAACATACGAACCTTTCATTAATTGATGATAAGATTCAAAGGATTTATGACAAAGAACCTAAAATCCAACTCATGTAATCCCAGTTCATTGTGCACTTACTCGACACAACACCTACATCTTTCACTAGTGCTAACTTTAGTTGATAGATCAACCTCTTCTATTCTACAATGGACACAGTTCGTCTTACCACATCACTTTCATCGACCTGCAATCTCTTTTTCTTTATAAGAGACCTTTGTTATAAGATTACCGTTTTTTTAATCTAATTTTTGTTAGTAAGTTCATTTGTGATCTTAATTGTAATTCACCAGTAGCTAAAGTCATTGCATGCTTAGAGTAACATCTCCTTTGAACAATATTATCATCTGGGGATGTCATTCGAAATATATGTTTGACTTGTTATTTGACACAGGGAAGTAAGGGGTTAAGCATGCAGTACCTCGATAATGTCTAATTTATAAATCATTAAAGTGGGAGAATTGTTTAAAGATCCTAAAAGATATAGGAAGCTAGCTGGAAAGTTAAACTATCTTATAGTGACGTGCAAGATATAGCTTATCCAATGAGTATTGTGGGCCACTTTATATCTTTACCTACCACCGTGCAAGATATAGCTTATCCAATGAGTATTGTGGGCCACTTTATATCTTTACCTACCACTAACTGATGGACCACAATGAAATAGATTATGTGTTATTGGGCAGGATCTAAAAAGGCAAAAGATCAACTGCAGGGTATTGTTTGTTTGATGAGGTAATTTAGTTCAATGAAAAAGTAATAAATAAAATGTGGTGCCACACGTAAGTATTGAATTAGAATATAAAATGATGCACAATTTGTGTCTGAAGTAAGGTAGGTATACCAACTCCTTGCTCAAATGGGATTTCATATCACAGCTTCGACTAAACTATAGTGTGAGAACCAAGCAGCCCTCCTTATCCTAAGAAGTACAGACACAGACATAGCGACATGCCAATTCTAAAAAATTTATGACACGACACGTCGGGGATATGTTTTTCTTTTTCATTTTTTTTTATATATATGTATCACATAGTAATACTTCTAACTATTGAAAAAAATCACCTAGTTGGTGACGAAGGTGATTGATGGCGAAAAAAGTGTCATGTCGGCGGCGAATGGGCATCGACGTCAACGATGAAAGCTACCAGTGGTGGTGGCAGCGAAGGCGGGCAGTGGTGGTGGCGGCAGCAAAGGCGAGCATGCAAAGGAAATGGCTTCTGTTTCTGTTCTTTTTCGTGGGAGGCTAATGGATTTTAGGGCTTCTGTTTTAAGTTCTTTAGTGTTTCTTTTTTATGTTTTTTTTAATTAAATAATGGGCTTTGAAAGTGGGCTGCGCTGGGTCTTCTTTTATTTAAAGCCAACTCTTCTTTTATTTAAAGCCAACTCAGTGTGTCCCCAAACGTGCCCAAATGTATCCAAATTATTAAAAATAAAAATAAAAAATAATTGGACACATTAAATGCCATGTTGGACACGTGTCCGTGCTTCCTAGTCCTTATCACATCTAATCTAGTATTCCATTAAAAAACTAAAAACATTAAAGTCAACTGTCATTGTGTTTTTGAGAAAGTATATCAAGGTTAAATTTCTATAGGATATGTGAAAGACTAGAGAAATTATGCACATGGGTACATAAATGAATTGACGCTGCATTCGAATGAGAGGGATCCTGAGGCTATACAAGCATCGTTAAGAATGATTTAAAAGAATTAATAATTACTACTTATACCAAAAAGGTGCACATTTCATTTTGATGGTCCATTCACAATAATTCCAAAGTCAAGCAGTCCCTTCTCTCCCCGACATCGTCCCAAGGTAACCACCTATAAATTTTCCTAAGAAGCATTTGAGCAAGAACAAACATGTCGAAAGTACTCATGTTGGTTTGTAAGGGCAAATTTCACTCTCAAAAGCAGTTGAAGTCAATGTAGCAGGTCCAAGTTGCATGATGTCGCAAATACTAGAAGAGAGTATGTTGTGACTCCCACAAAGTAGGCAAGTGGTGATAACATGCATGTGCATCCATTAGACTAGTGAAGGGTCGAGAGAGAAGTGTCGTGATGCGACCGAGGATGGTGCATCACCCAACACACTAAGAGGACATCCATGAGAAAGTCTTAGGAAGATTAAAAGCAATGACAATGTCTGTGGCAAGCTCATTGGGGGCCAATAGGGGTCAGGGCCAGGGCCATAATCCTAGAAGTCGGGGTTGCGGTCAAGAGTTTGGACGAGTAGCTTTAGGTCAAGAGTTTGCAGTCATTAGTGAAATATGCAAGTATGCCAAATTTTGAAGATCAGAGGTGAGCACCAAGTCATTAGTGAAATATGCAAGTATGCCAAATTTTGAAGATCAGAGGTGAGCACCCTATTGGTGAGTAGCTCCTTGCCACTTATGAAGATCATGGGTGTCAGACCAAATATGTCTTAGAATCTACTATAGAGGGAGACATAGTGTGGCCCTACAGCCTAAGGGAGCTACCCCCAATGTGTCATGGTGTGGACGAGCATTACAAGACTAAGGTCTTGGACGTCTTCCTTGGAGAATAGGAATCCCAAGAGACAGTGTCGGGTCAGGTGGCACGGGTGTGCTGGCATTGCGCCTTTTCCTATGGGTAAGAGGTTTCAACATAAGGTCGTTCTCCAACACGGTACGCTCCAAGTGAATTGGCACGAGCACAAGACAGATCGTACCATGATAGTGCCTGAATGGATAAATGTTTAGGATGGCCTCAACATGAAGTAAAGGCTCATGGTCCTGTTCTCAGGTATATGTTCGAGATGAGTTGAGATGCACGACCAAATGATGTGCATTGTCGAGAGAAAGTCGAGTTGTGAACACTCACTCAAGTCTAAGCCAACGATGGGTGATGGGGTGCTCATGTGTGTGGGTAGCTTGGGTGAATGTTCAAGGTGGTAGAGATGCTCAATTGAGGAAGAGATAAGGAATCTCGCTTATGGTCTAACAGAGTTAAAAAGACTTGCGAAAAGAATATGTGGGCTAGAATTCCCCTAAAGTTTGGCCATGATCGGGGTAAGATCATGGCGCAGCATGGTTGAAAGAGGTACAACCGTGACATAGGTGATCCAAGGTTATTCCTAGATTTTGTTTCCTCTTGTAACCTATAAATAGTGCCTCTATTCCTCATCTTTGATCAATCAATTTGAGAATTTATTTCTTCTCTCTTTTCTCGTGTATGTCTCTCTGGTGTCTCTATCCTTAGTTTTTATGGTATCAGAGCTAGGTTTAGATTGACACCAGAATGCTTAAAACAGCCATGATGACTGGATGAGAGTTCCGACGGATCGAATATGACCTCAATTTCTCTCCCTAAAAGCACATCCACGACACCTCACATCTCTATCTCTGAAAACACTTCGCTCCAAATTACCTCTCCAAAACTCAACGGAAAAAATTTTCTGCAATGGTCTCGATCGACCCTCCTAGTTATTCGTGGCCGCAGTCGACTCGGGTACATCAATGGCACGATAGCAGAACCAGATGAAGCTGACCCTTCTTTTTCCATGTGGGATGCACAAAACTCAATGGTCATGGCATGGCTCATTAACTCGATGGAGGAGGACATTAAAGAATCCTTCATCTTCTACTGAACAGCAAAGGATCTTTGGAATGCGCTCACTATGGCTTTTTCTGATTTTGATAACTCGGCTCAATTGTTTGAATTACGCAATAAGGCACGTTCCTTACGACAAGGTGAATCCGATGTCACCCAATACTACAGCTCATTACGTAGGTTGTGAGCTGAACTTGATTTATGTCTCAATCTCGAATGGGAGAACTCGAAGGATGCTGAACGCTTCCGCAAACACGTCGAGAAGGAACGAATTAATGATTTTCTTGCAGGTCTTCGTCCGGAATTAGATGATGTGCGTTGCCGCTTACTTGCCACAAAGCCAATCCCAGCCATTGACGAAATCTTCGCAGAAGTTCGCTGGGAGTCGAGCCGTAAACGTGTGATGATGGGTGATACACCCACAAAACCTCTGTCCCTCTCACTGGAATCATCAGCTCTGGTGGCACGAGGTCCACCACCACCTTCATTCCGATCTACTCGTCGGAACAACCTATGGTGTGATCATTGTAAGCGCACAAACCATACAAAAGATCGGTGTTGGGAACTCCATGGTCGTCCTCAATGGAATAATTTATCAGGGGATTATCGGCCACCTCCACCTACAAATACTCCACCTTCTCGAACCAGCTCCTCCGGCTATCGAGTGGGCCCTAGTGTGTCAAACTCCCAAGATTTGGCCACCTCTCTCCCTCCATTTTCGAAGGCACAACTTGAACAGCTCTATCGCCTCTTAACACCGCCTGTTGAGTCTACTCCTTCGTCAAGTTTTGTGTCACAACGAGGTATTTTTAGTGCAGCTTTAACAAGTCAGCAGCATTCCGATCAGTGGATCTTAGATTCGGGTGCAACTGATCATATGACCGCTTTTCATGATATGTTTACCATGTACTCACCCAACCCGATTCAGACACATGTCAAGCTTGTAGATGGGTCATCGGCCATTATTAAGGGCTTTGGTTCTGTTATTCCTAGCCCAAACATTACATTGCACTCAGTGCTCCATGTGCCTAAATTATGTTGCAATCTAATTTCTGTTCAGAAGTTGACTCATGATTTAAAGTGTCAAGCCCTGTTCACTGACTCTAAGTGTTTGTTTCAGGACTTGATAACGGGAACGACGATTGGCAATGCCGATGGCTTTGAAGGGCTCTACTACTTCAGAGGACCAAGTCTAAGAAATAAACAAGTTCTCCAGGTTGGTAGTGAGTCGAATTCTAGGGAACAACAAATTCTACTTTTACATCGCCGTTTAGGGCACCCGAGTTTCCAGTATCTTAAACATTTGTACCCTTCACTTTTTCATAAAGATGACCTTTTTACTTGCGAAGTGTGTCAACTTGCAAAACACTCTCGTACATCTTATCCTTCTGTTGAGTATATACCATCCAGTCCATTCACAATGATTCATAATGATTTATGGGGGCCGTCTCGCATCAAAACTATGTCCGGTAAACGTTGGTTCCTTTCCTTTACTGATGACCACACTAGGGTTTGTTGGGTCTATTTACTTAAAAGAAAAATCAGAAACTGCATCAATCTTTCAACAGTTTCATTCTCTCATTCATAATCAATTTAATACGAGAATCAAAATTCTTCGCACAGATAAGGGGACAGAATATTTTTAATCAAACATTGGAAACTTTCCTGTCTCAAAATGGAATCATTCACCAAAGTTCCTGTGTCATTACCCCCAACAAAATGGTATAGCTGAAAGGAAAAATAGGCCTCTTTTAGAAACTGCTCGTGCTCTCATGTTCACCAATTCTGTTCCTAACCGTTTTTGGGGTGATGTTGTCCCTACTGCTTGTTATCTCATTAATCGGATGCCCTCTCGTGTTCTGAAATGTAACACTCCACTAGAAATCTTACTCACTATCTATCAACAAATTCGATCTGTCCTCACAATTCCCCTCAAAATATTTGGATGTACTGCATTCACTCATGTTTATGATCATGAACGTCACAAATTGGAGCCAAAAGCCAGAAAGTGTGTCTTCCTTGGTTA